TAGCCTCTAAAAGGTTCCTACACAGACATAAAATTTTGCGTGCCTCCGTTTTTGTCTCGAGATTTCTTTTAATACATAGAGGTTTGCATGTTTTGGGTATGCATGCATGCAGGTTATATCGTATATATTAGCGACGGGTTCGGCAGCTGGGTTTGGTGCAACCAAAGATCTAAAGGCTGTAGCTGATGCGTTGCAGGTGGACGACTTTGATGAATTTTTTGATAAAGCATATGCATCGGCAAGCTTGCTCCTCCTTGCGTTTGTATGTGCTGCCATATTATCTGTTTTCTCATCTTATGCCCTCCCCAAAATGGCTGCTTCAACCAGCTGACACATTTCATGTATACTTCAATTCCCCAAAATGGACCACTTAATCATTCTATTTTCTTTATAAATTCAGTCATGTCTTTCACTTTAGTCTTAAAGTTGATTAGATCAGCCTTTAAATTTTTGCAAATGATCACTTGAAACATAATTATTTTGTCCTTGTAATTAACCCTAATAAATTGATTTTGACTTGGAGTTGATGGGTAAGATTCAATGGCATCTATATATTTTTTTGAGTAATTCAGTTGAATCTATAATTATGCCTAAAACATGATGTCCCGAAGTCGGCAACAATTGGAGGGCTTCAATGCAATCATGATGTCCCTAAACCATGAACGACCAGTTTTTGACCCTTGGTGAAAGACCATCTTTTGTCTGCATTTTATGAATAAAATTCCACCCCCAACGTGTTCCACGAATCATATGCTTTTTCTCATCCGAGTTTACTGCTTAAACATAATTGTCAATGGTGGGGGCTCCATAATTTTGACCCTGCTGTGTGTATCATGAGGAAACGTCCACCTCTTTTTTCTCCTTGTTTACATGGCCAATATCACTTTCATGTACGCCAATGATTTAGAATGTGAAAGCAGCGCAATGAAATTGTAGCCACTTGACTTTTATAGTCGGAAAACTCGAACCAATTGACGGTAGATGGAATAGGATAACATCATAGTTCCAAAACTATTCCTCTATAATGCACTTTCTACTTGTGGATGAACCAGGGCCGTGGCTGGGGCGGCGCAAACTGCGCGACCGCGCAGGGCCCCCAAAAAATGGGGCCAAAAATATATATATATAGTGGTATTTTATCAACAAACGTCACTATAGATGGACTTATTGCGACGTTTTTTCAAAAAAGGAGAGTAGTTTATGATGTTAAAATTAGCATCATGACGAACGCCACCCTAGGTGTGTCACTAAATGTCTAGGGTGTCACTAAATGTTAAATGTAACGATATATATATTTTCGTCAAATATTGTTAAACACATAGTGACGTTAATGCAAAACATCATCTTATAAGTTGTATTTAGTGACAATTAATTATGTCATTAATTAATATAAGATTTCATCACTAATTATTCATATTGTCACTAATAATATAAAAATTTAATATTGTCAATGACGAAATAAGATTGTCATAATTTCTTTATAAAAAATAAAAAATCGTCAAATTACAATAAAAAGACAAAATGTTTTAGAATTTATAATAAAAGTTTAAACTTTTTAGAATTTACAATAAAGGAATTTTTTTATAAACTATAATAAAGGACAAAATTTGTTGTAAATTACAATAAAGTACAAAACTATTTATAAATTACAATAAAGGATAAAACATTTTATAAATCATAATAAAAGGAGACAATTTTTATCAAATACAATAAATTTAGCATAAAAGGTAACTGAGGGTTGATGCATGGAGCGCTCTGCTTAAGAGGGAATTGAATGTTGATGCATGGAGGGTTGATGTCCTAACGGCTCCTGGAATGATTTTTGGAGCTAACTTCGAGTGACTTTGACCTTTCCTTGGAATGATGTCTTGTTTAGATCAACCTTTCATAGGCTGCACGCTTAATCTTTCATGGGTTTCATGCTCAAGGGTCGCTATTTTCCATGGATGTTGATTGAGATCTTTCCCTATCATCTTCCTGACTAGAAAGCAAACTTCCTCGATCAATATGTAACATAACTCGTCTCACTCGATTTATAGATATATCATCTCATGAAATTGAAAATTCATGATTACAAGATTAACAGTTTAAAATGAAATAGGGAAACAATGAAATTTAACGAATTTGAAATAAAATAAACATTGGTTTGTAATATATAGTGAATAACGTTCTTCTTATGTTGGCCTCTCATACATCTGCAAGCACAATAAGAGGATCACTTGAACTTGTAGAAGTAGTATTGGCATTTGGCCTCATTGCCTTTTGTAGTCCAACACGCAGCTCTTCATTCCCACCTCTATAAAATGATTATAAGATTTGGTTTAATATTAAACCCTCGTATTTCAAGTCAATTCCATGTCCATGTTTAAGTGAAATAAACAACAAACCAAATGTTCTAGGGGTACTTTCGTGGCGCCTTGGTGGCATTTGACAAGGCTGGAGGATATTCACCGGGGTGGATCAGGTCGAAGGATGTTCTAGGGGTTCGCGATGTGTTGCTGAATAGTGGTTGGTTGAGCGGGGGAAGGTGATGGCTCTAGTGATCGGGAGATGAGAGATGGACAATGATAAAGTTGGATGACCAGAGGATGAGCAATGGTTGGTCGATAAGGAAAAGGAGAGTAGTGAAAGAAGATGGCTTTAGGAGGACGAGTTGTGGTTGGCCGATGAAAAAAAAATAATGGCTTCTACTCAAGAATGGAGAAGTTCTAGTGCTGTTGATCAGGGTTTTAAAAAACGGTTCGCGACCGCGATTTCGGCTGCGATATAGCGGTTTCGCCGCTGTCCGAGTTACCCGCGACGGCCGCAATAGCGTCCGCGACGGCCGCAATAGCGTCCGCGACAGCCATAATAGCGCCCGCGACGGCCACAATCACGATAAATCCAAAATAACCAAAAATACGACCGCGACCACGATTTAAAACTCTGCTGTTGATAAAGCAAACGACGACTAGGATTTTCTCTTTGAAAACCTATCAAGTTGCCGTAACATATATATATAATATAAGTATTTAGGCTTGTTAAATAATATTTATTTAAAATAGGTAATGGTGAATTAAAGTTCAAAAGGTTCTATTGACTTGATGGCTTCGCTGAAGTTTTGGTAACTGATTTAAATTTTTTGAGACATAAGTCAAAAGGGTGAAATTTGAAGTTTAGTACTTGATTAGTCTAGAGTTTAAATTAATGGCACACAAGTTCCAAATATTATGAATTGACCACAAGAACTTTACGATTTCCTACTTTAATCTGAATTTCAGAATTAATATATTAAAACTAAAATTTAAACCCACAAATTCTTTGGCATATATGATTCTCTTATTAGTACTCAATTTTAACATGGTCAATTAAAAATTATTTTTAATGACAAAAGGGTCCGATTTTGGGCGCTGTGGGGGTGTTAATCCTTCTCCACGAGTAATCGACTCCCAGACCCGTTAAATTAGATTTTTGGTATACGCATACCAAGTTTTGTCTAAAAAAAGATTTTTCTTAAAATTGTTTTAAAAGACGTTTTTAGGTATTCAACCTACCTAAATCAAAGGTCGATGTCGACTCCCATCTAAATTAATTCAAAATAGTCAATTTTTCAAAATAAAGTCATAATTTTTTTAAAACTTAATTGTTTTTTCAAAAAAAGAAGAAGGTTATGACAGTATGGATACATTGTCCTATGTTTGGAGTCAAGCATCGAGCAGTGATCAAGCAAATAAGCTTATACTAATGTATGTAATACTTAGATTTTAATAAGAGGCAATGTGAGAAACTTTTGGAAATCAATATATGTTGTACTTTGATGAACTTAGTAAATGACCTATAATGAACCTTTTGGAGTACTTGAATTCATAAATGAAGAAGGGATTGTTGATTCTTGAAGTAGAATCACTTATGTTATGTGCCTAAAGAGATCACATGTTGTTCTAAGCCTTAATTGAGTGGTTTGATCATTTAGAAAAATGATACTAAGGTTATATAACATGCTAGGCCTTTGGGATCCTGAAAATGACCAATAATATACAAAATGACTTGGTGAGTTGTGTTAAAATTGTCATTTTATCCAACTGTTGATCTTAGATGCTAAATGCATGATCGATGTGTTAATTGATGTTATGAAGCATATAACATATATGTTCCCCCTAGCCGCTCTCTCCCTCCTCTTTCTTCCCTTCCCTTTTTCTTTCTTCCCAATTTGTGTCAATTTCTTTAGATCAAATCAACTTCTTCTTGTTTGATTTTGTTTAGCTGAAAGCGACACTTATTTTGATACTGGTTGCCGACCGTCGATTCTCTTTTCTCTTTGTTTTTTTTTTTATTTTTTAATAAGAATAATTTTGTCGTTTTGATATGTTTATCTCTATCTTTATGACACATTTATCTCTGTCTTTGTGACACGTTTATCTCTACTTTTTTATAGTTTTCGATTTCTTTGTCGTTGTTTTCATTTATCTTTTTCTCAGGGTTAGATTTGGCATTGTTATCACTGATCAAGATGTTGCTTATTTGTTATCATGCATTATCCCGACTTTGGACCCTCGGATTGATTTGGATACGCGTTTTACGCTTGTAGATAGTTTTCTCACGTCGCTTGACTTTGATTTACGATTTGTCGGTGATATTTCAATAGTTTCATCCCATTTTGTGGTTTGTTTGCCGATGCAGTAAAATTTGTTCGTATTTTTATTTTGTACCAGCATTGGTTAGGTTTTATAACCTTTTCCTTTTATGATCCTCGTGTGATCTAAATGGTTAGTTTTTGTGTCCATGGTTATAGTAAAATGTCAGAATTATAATTTAGTTTACGTCTACAATTATTCTTGTAAATTTTCATTGAAATTATGGATATTTTCTATTTTTAATAAAACTAACGGATTGCTATCAATAATAATAGTTATTATTATTACCAAAATAATAATAATAATAAATATTTTTATTATTTGTTCTTAATAATACTTAGGAACTAAACTGATCCTTTTTCGGAATTATTTATAACAAAGCAAAATCTTCCTTCTTTAGACATAACCGATCTTTTCTCTTCCAATTCTTCAAATATATTTGCAATTTCCATAGCCTGCGTAAATAAAATAAAATAAATAAGCAATTAAATAAAGAAGAAATAAACAATAATTTAATTGATTTTGTTTTGAACTTAATATTTGTGCTTTTATTTATAGGAATTTCGCCTTTTACCTTTTAAATTTAAAAATTCAAGTCCAATTATTAATATTTTTAAAATTTTTATATTAAATTTAGATAGATTACAACACTAATTTTTGGTTACATGAATTATAAAGTTAATATTTTTATTTAAAAATTTTATATTAGAGAATTCAACAGAAGAATTTTAATGATGTTAACAATTAGGCTCGAATTTTAAAATTTAAAAAGAATGAGAATTAAATTTATAAAAATACAAGTAAGATGATTAAATTTCAAATGTTTAAAGAGTAAAGGAGTTAATAGTAAATTATTATATGAACAATTTTAAATTATTCATAATTTTTGCGAGATTTATAAAAATAGATTATTAAAATTGAATTCATAAACCCTAAAAGATTATTTAAAAAATCAAATTATGGTTTTGATTAGATCTGTAAATGAGATGAGACAGATCGCGAGCAACTCGAGATCGACTCGGTCAAAGCTCGATCAACACTCGAATCGAATGAACTCGACTAGAGCTCGAACTCGACTAGAATTCTTAATGAGCTAAAACGAGTTACTTAATACCTGACTCGAAAAGCTCGCGAGCTATTCGAAAAAAAGTTATATTATAATTTTAGATTTTTTAAAATTACATTATTAAAAATATATTAAAAAAACATTAGTGATAATTATAAATTTTTTAAAAAAATATTTTGAAATATAATATAAGATTTTTATAGGTTCAAATTCGAGTTTGAGCTTGAATCAAGCTCCTGAGATTTTTTTGAGTTCGAGCCTTTTCGAGTTCGAGTCGAGTTTCAATATTATATTTCAAGTTCGAACTGAGCTTGATAATTTTTAACTCGCGAGTTTTCGAGTCTAGTCGAACCAAATTTTAAACTTTTCGAGTTCGAGTCGAGCTCAGGAATACCGTTTACAGCCCTAGTTTTTATTCTTCAACTATGTTTTATTTTGGACTAACTAATGACACTATAAGATTGGAGAACAGATTTAAACGTTGTACATGAACTAAAAGCTTACTTGGATTGTCGCTGATTACTCTACCAATGCCATTAAAATCACAAAATGTAGGGTTGCCTTCATGATAGCGGTAGTAAGAATTCATGGCAAATGCGGCACGAGACCTAACGGTGGGGGGATCACCGCAGACCGCACCCGGCTGAATCGGACCGCAATCAATGCCACTGCCGCATGCAAAATCCATGGCTTTCTGCAATTCAGCATCGGAAGCTTGCTCGGTCGGCACGCAGAACGCGGTCAGGGGCGTGACCACCGCAGTTCCGTTATCGAGTACAACTCCATGCGCTTCGACGATGGAAGCGGAGGAGAAGAGATGGAAGACGACGGTGGCGAGGAGGAGGAAAGCAACTCTGCTCAATGACTTCATGATTATATATTCTTCTTCTTTCTTATTGCTATTTTGTTTTGATCACTGATATCGATATGGGTTGTAATTGGTGTATGTATACATAGGGAACTATGAGAATTAATAGCATGCGATAACGGATCATAGAATGAGTCATACTAAAAATATTGAAAATTTACTTTGAAGACCCTTATTTTCTAGGGTAAACTATTAAAAAAAGTAGTTGGGTGACCAAATCGTGAAAATAGTTAGGCGATTAAATACATAGCTTACCCTATTTTAGAAAAACCATAAATTTAGAAATTCACGGTGAAAACATTAAATATGGTTGAATCATCTTCTCTATATATACATTAACTATAACTCCTCCTCCTCCTCACCACCGCCTTCTTCCGCCTTTTCTCTCCCACTGCCGCCATCGGAGTTAACTATGGTATGGTTGCAGATAACCTCCCTTCGCCCGTGGATGTTGCCAACTTCATCAAAACGAAAACTATTTTCGACAGCGTAAAAATCTTCGACACCAACCCTGCCGTTCTTTGAGCCTTCGCCAAACACCAATATCACGATGACGGTCACAATCCCGAACGGAGAGATCCCTAATCTGAACAACGTAGGGGCGGCGACGGCATGGGTGAACACCAATATTAGACCTTTCCATCTACAAATGAAAGATCAAATTTATATCTGTAGGCAATGAAGTGGTGCTTCTTAATGATCCTGCTCATATAAGTGGTCTTGTGCCAGCAATGAGGGCTCTTACCAATGCATTGCGTGGCGCTGGGCCTGAGTTTCAAGATATTAAGGTACCATGCATGCTTCACGTTATTTTGTTGATAAAATAATAAAAATAAGGGTAAACTACTCAAATGATCACTTAATTATGTGATTGGTGTCGATATGATCTCATACTTTCAATTTTGGCAATATGATCACATAACTATATAAGTGATTTCAGTGTAGTCACTTGTCATTAAAAATAGAAGACATAGTTGATGTGGTTGTTATTGACTAATGGTGAGTCAGAGGTCTACATCAATTATACCGTTTGTTTTTAACAGTAAGTGGCTACATTGAAATCACTTAAATAGTTATGTGGTAATATTGCTAAAATGGAAAATATAAAGCTCATATCGACATCAATCCCATAGTTAAGTGATCATTTGAATAGTTTACCCTCAGAGTAATTCTTAGTTGTTAATTGTAACAAACTTGGAAACTTCATTGATTTATATAATTATCGATAAAAATTATCAATATAGGTCTTAGATTCGAGGATATTATGTGTTTGAACACAAGGCTCTTAACCTTGTGGTTGTGGGATCGAGTCCCACTGAGGGCAATTCATAACGGAGGTCTTCCACGGAAGCTACTCTTAACCTAGCGTTGGGGCAGCCTACTACCCTACCTCCCTCTTATCCCATTACATATGTGAATAAGGTCAACTAATTTTTATGTGTTTAAACACGTTTAAAATTTAGGCTCCTAACCACAAGTGGAGGGTCTAAATGGTGGAATTTTAATTTTAGTCGCTTCAAGTCCTGAAGTTATAAAGTTAAATGTTAAAATTTCATTTTGGCTCCCTAAAAGGCTAAAAATGATAGAATTTCATTTTGGTCTCATTAAAAACTTATAAAAGTATAAAATAAAATGGTGGTAAAATTACTTTTTTTCTTTTAAAAAATTTATAAGTTTATTATAGACCCCTAAATAATTTTAGGAAAAATACACTAGAGGTCTATAAATTACTCAAATGATCATATTGGTCATTGAATGTTTAAAATTTATACAATGGTCATTAAATTGATTGAACTTCTACAAAATGATCGTTGCAATGTTATGATAACTATAAATGTTCGATAAATTTAATGATCGTTTCATAATAGTTCGATAAAATTTAATGATCATTTTCTAATAGTTTGAATGAATATTTCTATGATCATTATAACAATTCAATAAATTTAATAATTATTTGTTAAACAATTGTATATAAATGTGCAAAAACACAATATTCATCTTGTTCTTCTTTTACCAATAATCAGTTGGTCTAATGAGATGAGACGCTAGATCTCTTAAGTAAAATTAGAGATTTGGGGAAAAAATCTTGTCCTTCTTATAACCAGGGTTTTGATTTGCATTGTTTTATTGATCAGGTTACAACAGCACATGCCCTAAATATGTTCCAAGGTTGACCCGGTTCAGGGTCGACTATGCAAAGTCCTTTGAACTGTTGCTCCTATACCTTCGAGAAACCAAATCACCTCTCATGATCAACCCTTACCCGTACTTCGAACTAAACGTGATGGAAAACAACGTAGATTATGCCTTCAATTCGTTTCTGGACAATACGTTTTCAGCATTGGCCGTAGGTTACGGGGATGTTGACATCGTCATCGGTGAGACCGGTTGGCCTTCAGTGAGCGATCCAGGGAACTTCGCTGCTATAATCGATAATGCCGCTTCGTACAATGGGCATTTGATTCAGAAAATCGTTTTCGGCTTCGGGACGCCGTTGATGTCGAACAGGACGTTCGATGCTTACATTTTTGCATTGTTTAATGAGAAGTAAACCAGGTCCTGCTGCTAAGAGAAACTGGATTTTTTCAACCAGATTACGCACCTGTTTAAGTTGCTGGAGCTTTGCGCGATGGCCCGACCCCTAATCTTAACAATCCCAACTTCACGGTCGAACGCCGTCACAGGGTCCCTCGCGGTGGCAGCCGACCTTCGAGGGTCCCCCGAGTTAACAATCCTCAGGTATGATTTTAAATTTATACATCAAAACAATGAAAACAAGGAAAATTGTGATAGTAATTTAACCGGAATGATGAATGATGTTAATCATTTGGACAATCTAATGACAATAAAAAATTAGAGGAACCAAAATCAGAATTCTACCTTTATGCTCTGAAAGATTTCATTAATTGTTAACTTCATCATATGTCCCCAAACTATATTTCTCAGCTTAAATTGGTCCTTAAACTTTTGATTATTAAGATTTAATCCCTAAATTATGACTCATTCAAAATTAGTCCTTAAACTTTTTAATATTCTAATTTAATCCCTAAATTATAACTCACTTTTAAAATTAGTCCCTAGACTTTTGAATATTCCAATTTCATCCTCAAACTCATCTAAATATATTAGAGGGTCCCTCGAGTTAACAATCCTTAGGTATGATTATAAATTTATACATCAGAACAATGAAAACAAGGAAAATTGTGATAGTAATTTAACTGGAATGGTGAATGATGTTAATCATTTGGACAATCTAATGATAATATAAAAGTAGAGGAACCAAAATCAAAATTTTACCTTTATGCTCTGAAAGATTTCATTAATTGTTAACTGCATCATATGTCCCCAAACTATATTTCTCAACTTAAATTGGTCCTTAAACTTTTGATTATTAAGATTTAATCCCTAAATTATGATTCTCTTTCCAAATTAGTCCTTAAACTTTTGAATATTCTAATTTCATCACTAAACTATAACTCTCTTTCCAAATTAGTCCCTAGACTTTTGAATATTCCAATTTCATCCTCAAACTCATCTAAATATATAATTAGTGTCAGGCAAATATATATTTGAGGGTCCCTCAAGTTAACAATCCTCAGGTATGATTATAGATTTATACATCAGAACAATGAAAACAAGGAAAATTGTGATAGTAATTTAACTGGAATGATGAATGATGTTAATCATTTGGACAATCTAATGATAATATAAAAGTAGAGAAACCAAAATCAGAAGTTTACCTTTATGCTCTGAAAGATTTCATTAATTGTTAACTGCATCATATGTCTCCAAACTATAATTCTCAGTTTAAATTGGTCCTTAAACTTTTAATTATTATAATTTAATCCCTAATTTATGACTCATTCAAAATTAGTCCTTAAACTTTTGAATATTCTAATTTCATCACTAAACTATGATTCTCTTTCCAAATTAGTCCCTATACTTTTAAATATTCTAATTTCATCCCCAAACTCATCCAAATATATAATTAGTTTCAGGCAAATATATATTTGAGGGTCCCTCGAGTTAACAATCCTCAGGTATGATTATAGATTTATACATCAGAACAATGAAAACAAGGAAAATTGTGATAGTAATTTAACTGGAATGATGAATGATGTTAATCATTTGGACAATCTAATGATAATATAAAAGTAGAGGAACCAAAATCAGAAGTTTACCTTTATGCTCTGAAAGATTTCATTAATTTTTAACTGTATCATATGTCCCCAAACTATAATTCTTAGTTTAAATTGGTCCTTAAACTTTTGATTATTATAATTTAATCCCTAATTTATGACTCATTCAAAATTAGTCCTTAAACTTTTGAATATTCTAATTGCATCACTAAACTATGATTCTCTTTCTAAATTAGTCTATATACTTTTGAATATTCTAATTTCATCCCCAAACTCATCCTCTAAATATATTTGAGGGTCCCTCGAGTTAACAATCCTAGATGGTTATTCTGAATTATTTTTTATATTTAATAATATATAAAAATGTCATGTCATAGGATATTAATAATACTAAAATAATTTATAGTGACCAAAACATGACAAATTCAAAAGTTTAATGAGTAAATTAGAAAAAATAAAAGTACAGTAAATGAAATAGGAGAGAGAGTAAAGTTTAATAATGAAATAGTGTAATTTACCCAAAAAAAAATTATCCTACTCCTTCGGAAAAATACTGCAACCGATATGGATATCCCAACAATCCATTCAGCTCATAAGACTTCATAACTTCTAAACTCTTCCTTGAAGAAGCATATTATGACTCTAATGAAGAAGCTTTCACATATGTTCCCCAACGAGATCGAAAGACAACTCTCAACTCAAGGTTTACAATAAGCCAATTGAAATAAAAGGCAAGTAACATTAGGGTTTTAAATAACGGCCGAATAGCGGTATCGCGACTGTTATATCGCGGTCGCAACAGTGTCCGAAACCGCTATCGCGGAAAATAAAGGTATGAAGCGGGATCACACCAATAGCGGTGGATCACGACCGTAATTTAACGGATCGCGACCA